AGAATAGAAAACAATATGAAGAAACTAAACAAGTTTTCATTTTCATAATACAGTTTAAGAACTCACCAAAATTCTCAACTAAACAAATTTTCTTCAGGTTTTGTTTCTGAGAAAATGACAACTTTGTTTTCATTTTAGTTTGTGCTTTCTATTGCAGACGTTATAAGAAACAAAATGACAAGTGAACGACCCATTAGTGAAGCACTATGGTTTTGGTTGTGCTCACAACCCCAACTTGTTTTAGTGCACCCATTGGTGCTTAAGCGAAAGCTTGTGAGCCATAGTTCTTAAAGTACCAACATATGCTAAGTTAAGAGTTGCATCTACAAAGAGAGTTTCAATGCTAAGTGGAATTCCATCATTGCGTCTCCAATTCATGACTGGCCAGCCTATTACGAACTTGTGAACTCATTCTCAAAGAACAACCATATCAATGTGATTCCGGCTCAATTGTATACATTTTACCCCTCATTTCTTGATAGTTAGACTTTGCATTTCATAGTCTCTCGACCTAATTTACGCTAGGTTATGCTATGTTTGATTCATTTCAAGTCCTAGCACGTGTGGAAGGGTCAAAGAAGAGTTTCACGACGATTGGAGGTTGAAAAGCACCAAAAAGTGAAGAAAAGTCCAAAATCACGGTTGGCGCACCTCGCGGGGTTGAAGATTGTCACAATCGCCAAACCGTGACAATTATCCAATGACGGTGATGTCGGACCAAAACGGCGCCAGTGACCTGCGTTTTTGTCTGATGTCACGGTGAGAGCTCCAAAGTCACGGTCGTGATATGCAGACTGTTAAAGTGACTGTTGGGAAGTATAAATAGAAGGCAGCTGGGAGAGAGAAAGGGGCTGGATCTTGGGTGAGGTTTAGATTTCTGGGTGCCCTTCTAGGGTTCCAACTGAAGAAACCCCAAGGGAACCCCTAGTGAGAGAAAGTTCTTCTTCTTCACAATCTAGAGAAAGAAAATGATCAACAAGAAGAGAAGAAGAAGATTTGACTTACTTCAAGCTAGAGGAGTGAAGATTCTTACCTCTCAAGAGAGTTATCATCAACTAAGAAGGAAGACAAGCATCCACCATGCTTCTTTCTCTGTTCTTTGTTGAATTCCATTGCCTAGCTATGAAGTAGAGCTCCTTCTTCTCCTTCGATTGAAGCAACCAGTGGTCGCTCCTTTACTCCGTCGATCAAAAATCTTTGTCTTCCTTATTTCTCCCCTGCCAACTCATTACTTACCCCCTGCTGAACCAGTGGCCATTGGTCTATGCGGAGGAGGCAGAGACTGTTATATGTGGTAGATAACCAGGGAGGTTGAAGTCCACAACCGTGATAATGGAGAACACCGTCATGAACCGATCTCTTCTTCTCCTCCCTCACTCATCTACATCGCCCCCTGCACTGTCGGTGCAGTCAGACCCATCAACCCCCATTGGAGCTTATAGTTGAACCCACCAACATGCTGGTCTAGTGGACAAGCCAACCAGCCTACAAAAATTGGTTTGTTCGAAAAACCCGTTCCGAACTAAGGTTGGTTCGATTTTAGAACGATCGAACTGATTCTTAGTCCGACTCGTTTAAGTTTATATACGTAATTTATGAGTGTCTTCTCTTCAGTCTGTCACTTCAAAGCACTCGAGTATATTGCATAACCTCTCACAAAGTTCGTATCCTTTTAGTCGCGTCAAAGTCATTCCAGAAGTAGAAATAGGCCTCGTGTGGTTTCGACATAATTGACTGAATGCCTATTTCTAATCACAAAGAACTCTTTTTTTTTGTTACAAAAGAATTGAAATCTACAAAATACTATAAGCCAACGTAAAAAAAAGTTTGTTTGCCACGTCTGCGCCTGCTCAATAGCCCGCACAATTCGGAGGGATTAATCAGTCAATTCATTCGACCCTTCTCCCGCACGCTCTCTGCCTCCCGAAACCGACTCTGGCGTCTCCTTTTAACCCTAACTCTCTGTGCAGTTTTCACCATTTCATTCCGGCTGGGAATAGCGTTTTCATTTTCAAGCTTTGTATCTTCCTTCATATTATCTTCGTAGCCTACTGATACCCATCCCTTTTGTGGGATCACTATCTCAATTTCAGAAAGAGGCGTTGCTCTCTCTCTTCCTCTCCCTGATTTGTTCTATTTCCCTGGTAGATGTTATTTGTCGCCAATAGCATTTGTGCTCCCCAAGGTGGGTTTGTCGGAACAATTCGACGGATTAAAAGTGTTAATTATGGCGGCTCAGTAGTTCAGGTCGGTCTCTCCCGTCTCTCTGTTCTATCTCCGTTGCACTACTGTCTCCTTGATCACTCTGTTTTCTCGATAGCAGTTGTGCTCTCCAGATTTTTGATGAATTTTGCTTTAATTGATTGTTCCCTTTTATATGCCTATCTCTTATTCTATTTTCGGAGCCAAGATATCCTCGCATCTGAAAATTTTTTTGTCTTCCCCTCCACCTAATTCGATTTGCAATTGATGTAGATAAAGGAATATATTTGATTCTGATTCCTAGATCCCTATTAAAGTCGATGGTCTCTGCCGTCGGCACCCAAAGCTACGGCTTGAAATTTACTATAATTTTCAGGACTCAAGGAGCTACTGGTTATTCCCAAATTCCTTCAAAATTTTGGAATTTAATAGTTGCTGTGGTTTTCGGCGGTTGTTACCGGCTTGGGAGTTAGGTCAATTCAACTTGATGCCTCTGAGAGTAGTGGTGGATTCGGCACAACGTGTGATGTAATAGGCGATCAGAATTTGGTGGAATGCCATGTGTTCTGTAATTGTGCTGTCACTTAACTTCCTCGGATTATTATACTGTAATTGCGCTTCCATTTATGACTATGCAACAATCGCAAAGGGTGTTTTTTTTATGGTCTTACCCTGCTCTCTTGCGTCGGGTCTGTAATCTTGAGCATCCAAATTTGTGCCTACGCCGACTCAAGAATGCTTTTACATCAGCAAGTCATGGAACCACTATCATTATCAGTATTTGGACTGCCTCATGTGTCCCAGAATTTGATGATTCCAAAAATTAGTTGTTGGGTTTCATGTACACCAACTTCTAGATATTGGATTCTAGATTTGCACATTCCACAATGCTACAAAACAAATTCGAATTTCAATTGTAAAATGCTCAAAGGTGACAGAGAACATCATACTATTTGAAGCCATAGTATACTTGCATCTAATGCAACTTAGTTTGTTTGAATTTATTTCAATGTAAAATAACATTTATGGATTAATTCTCAGCATACTCTTGCATAGTCAATCAGTTTCGCTCTAACATTACATCCTTCAACTTTTTAAACTGGATGAGTTTAAACTTTTGTTCAAGTTATGTGATCCTCGGCTTCATCACCCCTCCACGTCGTGATGAATGATGGGAGTGGCATTAAGACCAAATCTAGGTCTTTTCTCTTATGAATCATTCCTAACCTAAGTACTTAGCTTATGCGACCTCATATAACTGTGTTTGAAACCATTATATTTGTGGGCTACATTTATCTTACAGTCTTACTCCATATTACATTTTCCTCTACAACTCTCACTTAAGTTACATGTTTGAAAAATGCATAGTGTCAAGTATCTAATTATTCAATGAAGAGAATAAGGTGATGCCATAACAAAAAATGACAAACTCAACAAGTCAATCCTTTGAAGTGATGTTCCAGCAATACACCATCAACGCTAAAAGATGTCAAAGGAATGTGGGCTTTGGTATGTAGAATCAAGAAATCAATCTGACATGTTCGGCAAAACCCGCCCGTTGGGACAGTAGGTTGTTTTATTATCATCCAAAAAGTAAACCTCTGTTATGTTAGGAACACCCTTGCTAGAAATAAGTAGAGTAGAACTTTGACTCTTGCTATAACAGAAAAATTGTAGAAGTAGTTACGATGAGCAGAACAAGGTTTTTAACTTTTTATTGATTCCAAATCGGATTTGATTTATTACTTCCTTTTTTTACTACTTCAACATCATGCTTAAACTCTACTGTTTTCTTCACTCCGGCATGTGTAGTTGTGCTTATTGCCCTTCTATTCATTCATTTATTTGCTTACAATTTGTAGATATGAATTTTGTTATAATTTAATTATTTCGCAGCTTTTTATCAAGTATTTCTTGATTATAGTGAATTTTTTATCAAGAGTGACAACTATCTTAAAGAGATGAAAGTTTCAAGCCAATAGGTCGGGTAAAAAAAATGAGTGAACTCGATGCTAGAAGGATACTGTAGTTCGTCAGCCTTTCAAAGAATTGTTCAGTATATGTTTTATAATGTGATAATGCTCTAATGTACCTGCAACTTGAGTTTTTAACCTTGAAATAGAATCTCATAAGCCAAAATTTTGGTTAAGTTGGACCATTAGTTACAGCTTAAGCTTTTTAATCTTCTCTCTGTTCTTCAAATTTTAAAAAAACACCGGCCAACGGGCCGGGCCCAATGCTAGTCTAAATTAAATCAAAGAAGATAAAACCTAATTATATTAATAGAAAAACCAATTAATCTCACTCCACTTAAAGTACTGAAAGATTAAACGTTGCTCTGAATTTACTATTATCACCCAAAAAATAAGGCACAAATCTAAGTACAAAATACATATATCTTTAGCCACAAAAGCAAATATAACAAATCTTCGAACTGAATAATCTGCCTTACGTGACCACATGACTATCATATCCCCAACAGTTATACCGTACATAGGAGAAATTGGACCCCACTTCAAGGGCAAAGCAGTCCGAAATTAAGCAGCGCTACAAACTAAGCGCGTGAGAGCCTTTTACTCGCCGATCTTTCTTCTTAGGCTAGTTGAAGTTTTTCAAAAAAAAAAAAAAAAAAAAAAAGTTTTCGAAAATTTCTGTTACGAACTTCCTAATCAAGAATGCTTCAGCCTCATGAACCACCCTCGCTCAATACTTAATTACTCCCCCTGCCACTGAAAAGCACCCCAAACCCCCATCATAAGTTCCCCTCCCCCTTCTTCTCTTCCCCAGTTTCCCTCCAATTCTTCTCTCTCTATAAACACATTACCATTCTCTCTCTCCCTCCCCCACCGCCTCTTCTGTCTCCGATCTCAACCAGGTTCCGCCATTTTCCTTCTCTCTTTCTCATTTCGAATTCCTTCTGCTTTTTCTAATATCGGCGTGTTTCCAATGTCTTCTGCTCCTCTGTCTCACTGACGCGTTCCTGTTTTTTTTCTGGAATTTTCTCTGCTGTCAAGGTTCAGGGGAGCCAACCAGAAAATGGAGAAGGAAAATTGCTCTTCCGCTACAAACGCAGATCTCATCGCCGACGTATCGCGCAATTACTTCACTACTGGAGACAACTACGATTTCGCCTCCTTATTCCCTCCGCTGCTATCGTCCGATTCCCTCTCCTTGTCATCGCGCTTCTGCTCGCCGTCGTCGGCAATGCCGCACCAGGAGATGGTCAACCGCCACGCTCTCTGCCTAACGCGCCTTCGCCAGGCTGCAAAGGAGGTCGAGTCTCTCCGCCATGAGAACGCGGTTCTCCGATCCATCAACCACGACCTGAACAGCGATCTCAACCTCCTCATCCGCGCCTCCGTCCAGAATCACTGCCTTCCGCCGTCTCACTACGACAATTCGCCGTTCGAGCTCGCCAATGCTTTCCGTGATTTGTGCAACATCGGCGGAGGAGGAGGCGCCGCCGCGGAGGAGTTGTGTGAGAATCAGAGTCCGACGAGCGTCATCGAGATGCAGAGCGGGGACGCGGACAGGATTTCGTTACCGAAGAGCATTTCCGTGAGGTCCAATGGTTACTTGAAGATCGGACAGAGCACTGCTTCTGCTGGTGCGAGCAACAAGAGTCGGAGCGTGACTCGGCCTCTTCGCAACACGAATCCAATCGATGGAGCGGTAAATTTTACTTTCCTCATTCTCTACTCCATCCCGGCATGTTCTTGAATTGCTCTCTACCAATTATTGCTTATTCCACAGTTAGTTAGTTAGTTAGTGACTTGCCTTCTACGCCGCCTACTGGTTTGAGAAAGAGCCTAGTTTAAGTCTCTGGACCGACGAAGACTTGGTAGGAATAAGAGTCAAAGTAAAAGAATTAGGGTTGTTTCCACAGCGAGGTTCGTTAATCATTGTTAATTAACTAAATCCGTATTCCCGTACATAATCCACCAGCTAATTGGGCCCCTCGTGATGGGGATATGCTTGAAACATTAGGAATTGTTTTTCAGTCTCACGTGAATTGAACGCAAAACAGTAGCTTTTGTGGTTTATTAGTAACCCAGCACAATTAGTAGTATGATTAACAGTGGCGGATAGAATTAGTGTACTGAGCAATGATTCCATTTAGATCAGAGCAATCACGGGTCCTTTTATGCGTCCTGTAGTGATCGGATGGGTCACTTGGTTGATTTCTCTTCATTTTCTTAACTGGAGATCACGACCACCAACTGTTTGTATAAATACCTCACTGACCTATATCCACGATTGAAATTATCATTCCTGTCACTGTGGTGCTACATTGTGGAAGGGTCGTCTAGAGGCTAGAGATAACTAGTTACAATCCCCCCAGGTGTAAGAACTATTGAATCTTGATAGTAGCTGAATAATGATATCAAACAGTGATCCTTACGATTTTGTGATTGCAGGCAAAGGTATTGATCCGTGGTGGAAATGGAGGGAAGAAAGAGGAGGAGGCACTCGAGCTGGAAGTGTACAACCAAGGCATGACGAAGACTGAGCTCTGCAACAAATGGCAGGCAACTGGTGCTTGTCCATATGGCAACCACTGCCAATTTGCACATGGTGTTGAGGAGCTTCGCCCAGTGATCCGCCACCCTCGCTACAAGACTGAAGTCTGCAGAATGGTTCTCTCTGGTGATATGTGTCCTTATGGCCATCGCTGCCACTTCCGCCATGCCCTTACTGAGCAGGAAAGAGCCACTGAGCGCCTCAAGCCCAAGCAGACTAAGCTCGAAAGGTAAAGAAATTGAAGTAATGATGAACGATGATATGGTTCATGACACAATTTGTGGCTGGGTTTTGGGATTTTACATGCTGTAGAAAGATTGTTCGGTGTAATGAGTGAGGGAGCAGAAAGGTAAATAACAACATTGAAGTGAAAGTACAGGTATACAGTGCATATAGGGGGGAAGGAAGCAAGGGTATACTACTAATGAAGTATATGGAGTACAGAACACTTTTGGGGCATATACACGGTGGACAACAATGGAACAGGGTATCTTAGAGAGAGATTAGACTTACTCTTGCTTTCTTTCCATCCCTTTTTGCAATGCTCAAGATAACTCTTGTTGTCATTCTTATAATTGTACCTAGTCTTCAGTTTGATTCATTCTTTCAATTGTCACACAATGTGGTCCAAGTTTGTTTTGTAATAAGGACATCATATGATTTGGTTGATGAGGCCACTGTAGAAAGTTTTGATGCCTTTTTATCCTCTTCTATTCCATATATTAATATAGGTTGCTATTAAATGAGACAAAGACGATACTGTAGAGTCTTCTGGATGACAACATCAAGTATAGAAAATCGAATCCTATCAACTTAGTAAACAATGAAAGAGTTTTCCTGACCACTATATGGACCACCCTACTATGAACACAACTACAAAATAAAAAAACTTAACTACTGAAAACATTGTCGCAATAATTTGATTTCCTACAAATCTTTTTGTCAATTGCCAAAATTGAGTTATTTCTGTTATCACCGAGAGCATTCGTCCTCTCTTCTCATAAAGAGTAGGGGTGGCTATACGGTCCGGTCCGGTTAAATTGGCCCAAATTGATCCGGTACAGTCCGGTTTTTTTGAAAATATAAGGACCGAAGATTGGATTGGATACAGTCCGGTCTTGACCCGGTCCGGTCCCAATTCGGTCTTGATTTTATATTGAGATTGTGGGAATTTGAGTGGCCTAAGGCCTAAAAGGGCGAGGAGTTGGTTAAGTTTTGTACTAAGTGCAAAGGTTTGTGACCGTTTATGCAAATTACCCTTAAGTTTTGGGTGTTGAGCTCTCTTATCCGGTCTTTATCCGGTTTTTTACCTCAAATCTAAGCCCAAAGATTGGATTGGATTGTTTACTATCCGGTCCCGGTTCGGTCTCGGTCCGGGTTATACGGTCCGGTTTCCGGTTTTTCATCCGGTCCCGGTCCAAATAGCCAGCCCTAATAAAGAGTATATTCATCTACCCTTGGTGGGTTGTCTGTTCAAATGCAATGAGTGTGTTGTTTGTTGTATCCCATTTCTTTATTCTAATATGTCCAAATCCAAATCCAAACATATATATATATAATTATATATATATATATATATATACAAGAGTGAAAATTGGAGCTTTGCCAGCTCAGCCACCGAAGAGCATCCCTTCTTTTACGGAGAGGTGATTTTGACAAAATACTCAATTATGACCCGAGCCTCACTCTGGACTCAGCCAGTTTTTGGGCCGATTAGTTAGGCCCACTAGAAGATAAATAGAAACGAGTAATAAAGATTGGTTCCCTGATACATGTTCCAACTCCGGAACAGTTTATTTACTATCTATTAACATAGAAGCTCTGTTTTCAGAACCGGATCGGAGGCTGAAACGGAAAAGTTAGTGGTTTAGGGGTTCACCGGTTAGCCGTTACAAAATCGTTGGTGAACCGTTGATAGAACCGTTAATGATATATAACATATAAGACTTGTATATTACACTAATTTAAGAATGAAATTATCATTGACCATAAACAAGTTCAAATTCATATCATCACGAAAATATCTAATAAATCATTCCAACCATCTCACAAAAGAAACCACATTTTTTAATTCAAAATAAAAATTACGGTTCTAGTTGGTAGTAGACAATGTAAAATCGACAATAAGGTTGAGAAAGCATATATAAAATTAATAATTATGATTTGATGGTCTTAGTTTATGTTAAAATATTTTTTTGTTAAAATAATTTTTTTGTTAAAATAGTGAACCAATGGACCAGCTAAACCGTGTCGGTTCATCTGATTTTATGTTGAACCGTGAAAAACCATTTGGTCCATCAATAACCGTTCAAACAATACACCGGACCGCTATCGTAACTGGTTTGACGGTTCTACTGGCCCGACCATTGATCCGGTTCGGTTCTTATAACAAGGCATAAAAGCAAACAAATATTCATAAAAAAAAAAGAAGAAGCAAACAAATAATGACCCAACTCATAATAGTGGAGCCAGCCAAGGGAAAAAAAACTTGGAAGGATTCAAATGGTATCCAAATTGCCATGACCGAAGAGGAGGAAAAGGTCGCAGAGTTCGTTGAAGAACCGGCCCAGTCTGCATGGAGTAATGGATCGAGGCAACTTTTTGATGATTTACGTATGCATGGGGAGTATTATATTGCGGAATCGGACTCGGAAGATGTTTCTAATGCCATGAAAGAAGATGATCAGGATGACGAAGTACCGGAAGACGATGACCCTAATTGCCCTACTATCCCGTTCAGATCAATGGAGAAGCAAAGGTGGAGGCGTCAATGGAGGTCGGCCCTGATTGTGAAAGTGCTAGGGCGCACCTTCCCGTTCCCTGTTATTTCGAGACGTTTAGATAGCCTATGGGCTAAGTGTGGTACCCTGCAAATATCTAGCCTCTCATGGGGCTTCTATGTGGTGCGGTTTACATCTCAGTTTGATTATGAACAAGCTGCGGCTGGCGGCCCTTGGATGGTGGGAGATCACTACTTGACAGTACGAAGGTGGGTGAAGAATTTTGACCCCAAGTTCGCGGAGGTGGCTACTACAATGGTATGGGCACGTCTCCCGGACCTCCCTATTGAGTTTATTAATAAGGAGGCTGTGGAAAAGATTGCTGAACGGATTGGACGTCCGGTGAAAGTGGATCGTATAACTCAGACCAGTGCTCGGGGCAGATTTGCGAGGGTGTGCGTTGAAGTTGACCTAACTAAACCCCTCCTGTCCAAGTACAAAATAGAAGGGAAGAAATATTACATAGAGTTTGAGGGCTTACACCTAATATGCAGCGAGTGTGGATGTTATGGCCATGTGAAGAAGAGCTGCCCAAAGCTGAACGTGGTTCAGCCGATTGAAAAACAAGATGAGGGGATCTCGGAGGTAAGGGGAGAAACGGAGGAGACAGTTTACGGGGAATGGATGGTGGCCCGACCAAAGAATAGAAAGGGGTCCGGAGGCCAGCGTCAACCAAGGGAATTACAGAATGTAGGATCAGGAATGAGAGATGGAAGAGGAAAGGAGGGGGTGGACCACTCAAATGCTGGGTCGAGATTCCGAAATCTGGAAGACCGGGAAGAGGAGTTGAGTGAGGGGGTGGACGAGGAGATAATGATGGAAGAGCCGGAGGGTAACAAGATGGAGGTCGAGCAGCCTAAGGAGCCGGTACCCGAGGACCGAGAAGTGTACCCGGCGGTAGGTGAGGGGGGTGACACGAGTATGACGAAGTTAAAGCAGACGGGAATAGTTCTGGATTTAGTGAGTCCCCCGGGGAGTAAGGTGACACAAGGGAAGGAGTTGAAGATTGCTGGAGGAGGGAGGGGTGCTTCGAGGTTGGAAAAGAATGGGAAAGAGGGTGAGACTAGTAGGAAGGATTCCAAGGGGAGTGATCAACTCCCAGCCGAGCCAAAGGTGCCAAATGTGAGACCAACGGGGGATATGAGCAGCAAGACCGGGGAGAGTCTCGGGAAGAGTAAGAAACCACCAGCGAAGCCCACGGCGGTGACGTCGAGTAAACAAGCTCAACTAAAAGGTGCGGGGAACCTATTCCCTTTGGGTGATAGATGATAATTCTAAGCTATAACTGCCGCGGGTTGGGGAGCAAGCGGGCATTTAAAGCATTAAAGTCGCTGCTGCGACATGTCTCCCCGCACATCGTCTTTCTAATGGAGACGAAGCAGACCTGTACTGAGAATGAAGTGTTGCAGAAGGAGCTGGATTTTGCTGAGGGAAGAAGTTTCTCTACTGATGTGTCTCGGAATGGGAGGGTCGGGGGACTGTGCTTGTGGTGGAAAGAGGAAGTGAAGCTAGTACCGATCATGGTGACAGCGAATTACATTGACGCAAGAGTGGAGGAGGAAGGGAGGGATCCATGGAGATTCACAGGTGTATATGGCTGGCCGGAGAACTCGGCTAAACACAGGACTTGGGAACTAATTCGTCATCTGGGTAACCAAACGAATTTGCCCTGGTTGTGTGGGGGTGACTTTAACCAAATACTTTCGGAAAGTGAAAAGAGTGGGGGCCGAGTGGACCAGGGGAATAACTTGATTGAATTTGCAGAGAGCTTAATTGACGTGGACCTCCATGATCTTGGCTTCAGAGGCTATAAATACACGTGGGAGAATCGAAGAGGTGAAGGGGCCCATATGGAAGAGAGATTGGATAGATTTGTGGGCTCGGAAAGATGGAAATGTGAAAATGTGAACTACCGAGTAACACATCTTGATCGATCACGATCGGATCATCGCCCCATCATTTGTGATACACGTGGAGAGGAGGACGAGGAACCTAGCTGGGGGTGGTCTTTCCGGTTTGAACCATTATGGGCTAACCATGAGGGCTGTGAGGATGTGGTGAAAGAAGCTTGGAAGCCGCAGGTGCCGATGGATATCCGGGGGAAGATTGAAGCATGTAGGACGGAATTGGAAGAATGGAGTAAGAGAACCTTTCCCCGTTTCTCGGACCAGAAGCGAAGAATCAGAAGGGCGATCCGTGCGTTAGAAAGAAGACCAAGAACAGAAGGGGTGCTGAACCAAATCAGGCAATTAGAAAGTGAGATGGCGGAGGTTGAGGAAAATGAGGAGCTGTACTGGAAACAAAGATCGCGGGCAGACTGGTTGAAGGGCGGAGATCGAAATACAAATTTTTTTCACCGAAAAGCTTCAGCCCGACGCAGAAGGAACATGATTCGTAAGCTCAAAGGTGAAAATGGTGAATGGTACGTGGGGACAGACCGAGCGCTCCAGTGCATGCGGAATTATTACTCGGAGCTGTTTTTGGCCGGCGGCATCCCCAGTCGCACCCCAGTCCTAGACGCGGTGAAACCAACAATCTCGGGGGAGGATAATCTGATGCTATTAAGGCCGGTTGAGAGGGATGAAGTGGTTAAAGCACTGAAACAAATGGGAAAACGCAAAGCTCCAGGCCCGGACGGGCTGTCGGTCATGTTTTATAGGAAGTACTGTGAAATTGTAGGCGATGATGTCTATCAAACGGTCAAGCAGATCATTGAGGAGGGAGTAATGCCGGAGGAGGTGAATTACACGGTCATTGCCTTGATACCGAAGGTAAAGGAGCCGAGTATGCCTAAAGAATTCCGCCCCATTTCGCTGTGCAATGTGATTTACAAGCTGGTGTCGAAGGTACTGGCTAATCGGTTGAAAAATGTGCTGAATAAAGTGGTTTCGGCGGCCCAGTCAGCTTTTGTTCC